TCAGAAAAATGTGTGATTAATTAGTTATTTTTTAATCGATTGACAGCACTAATATTTATATATATATATATATATATATACAGGGGTTGGACAATGAAACTGAAACACTGGCCAATATAGTGTTGGCGGTTTCATGGCTATATTTGTGCAGCCTGGTGGCTAATCTTCACTGATTGCACATTCCACCAGTAAGAGCAGAGTGTGAAGGTTGAATTAGCAGAGCAGTAGCACAGTTTTACATAAACTATCGCAATGCACACAACATAATGGGAGACATATCAGAGTTCAAAAGAGGACATATTGTTGGTGCACGTCTAGCTGGCGCATCTGTGACCAGGACAGCAAGTCTTTGTGGTGTATCATATTGCCACTCCTAGAGATTTTGTGACATCTGTGGTTAAAAGAAAAATAAGGTGGGAGGTCATTTTATCCCATCTTCCCTATACTACTGAATAATTCAATTTTGTGAAGTATTTTAAGTAGAGACTACTTTGCTTGAATACTTGACTGGATTACATCATTCTGAAGTCAAGTGTGCTATTTAATTTCTATTTTTATAATTTGAACCTGTCATGTGTCTGTTATCCCATGCTTATCTGCGTTATATCTTTCAGCCCGAGAATGTATTAATCGAGCAAACGTCAACCCAGCCTCTAGTTAAACTGACGGATTACGGTGATGCAGCACATCTCTCCAACACCCCTTACATCCACCCTCTGCTGGGCAGCCCAGAGTTCTCCGCCCCTGAGCTGGTGCTGGGTGAACCAGCGGCTCTGGCGTCTGACCTCTGGAGTCTAGGCGTGTTGGCGTACTTGATGCTCAGTGGGGCTTCCCCTTTCCTGGACGAGAGTGTCGAGGAGACCTGCCTCAACATCTGCCGTCTCGACTTCAGCTTCCCGGAGGACTACTTCCGCAGCGTGAGTCAGGCAGCGAGGGACTTCGTATGCATCTTACTCCAAGGCGAGCCATGCAGACGTCCCTCTGCGCAGGTTTGCCTGCGTGAGGAGCCATGGCTGCAGCCCAACGCGGCCTCTGGCGCAGCTCGCCTCGACACTTCCAGACTCATCTCTTTTATAGAGCGGAGGAAACATCAGAACGACCTGCGACCCGTGGCCAGTTTCCAAGCATTCCTGCGTAGTCGCCTACTTAGCCAGACCTGAGAGAGACGTAGAGTGGAAATCCAATTGTAAGCTAGTTCTCCTGCCGTTCTATTAATGAAAGTATAGGTTATAAATAGGAAATCTCATCCTCCTTTTAGAGTCATTCTGAAATGGTTCTGGGTCTCTGTTACTGTAACTGCTGCTGACAAAACTCTGAAGTCCCCTTTTCCAACCCTTCAAAAAAATCATTTCAGCTACATGTACATGTTCTCTCTTTGTATGGACAAAACTCACCAGAAACAAATGTGAATTAAGAAGGGGGGGGGGGAGGGGGATTCTTTTGAAGGTTTTTTCCCTGAGCCAGAAAGCTTTAGACAGTATTTCAGTCAGGTTGTTTCAGTGGAGTACTGTAATTTGAATAGCTACATTCAGGAAAGATTACATTTTGTACAACCCATGTATAGAAGCACAGTAAAGATGATACAAATAAAAAGCTTATTTAAAGATTTGAAGGGAAGTAAAATAGGTTACATTATGGCGTTCATCTCAAGTTCCATGTTTGATAAACATACCGTCATATTGGAAATCAGGCATAACAAATGAAACAACTTTTAACAGCTGCAACTCTTTCGCACAAGGGGAGTAAAAGACAAGCTTTTCATTTCAATTCGCGTCTGTCTATCAGCCTTATGTTGTAAATAAACTGGACCTGCCTTCATTCATGTTAATTTGCCGTGTTTGACATGCTTTCTCATTGGCTGATCATGACTTTCAACTGACCAGTTAGAATACAAACTGGAAAGCCGCCGAAGGCAGGAAGTGTTGGTAACCACAGCAGATGTGTGTACTCTTTGTAACTTGTTGAAATGTGCAATGTTGGGGCTTTAACATTTTGCAGCTATTTATAATGATTCGTGTTAAATCAACATTGTTAAGTACATGTATCGGCCACTGCGAGTTGAGATATGATGTATCCGTGGCTCTTTTGCTGAGTTTTCTGTGTTCAGTATTATTTTGTAAGCTTAAGCCTCATTGGTGAAAAATCATTTGTGTCTTTGTCACACTTATGAATGTCGTTATTTTTATCGTTATACCAAAGTTAATCCTCATGTACCTAAATGCTTCTTCTCCCTGTTTGGTGGTTATAATTTGTAACAATACGTTATGAATGCAGTTCTGACTCCTGGAGCAGGAGTTTACTTGTATTGATTGTTGATTTATTTATTGTGTCTTGTTCGGTTTTTGTTAATCGAATTTAATTGAAGTAGTGCTTCATATTGTCAGATTATTAGGAATTTTTATTTCCATATCTGCTCATTGTAGCAGTAGCCTAGTCTGTTAATGTAAGTTTGCATGACTAAATGAATTATTCTTTGTTTTCAGTTCACTTTATTTTAAATACAATGAGATGAATCGTTCCCCGTGTACTGTACCTGTTGTACGGGGAAAAAGTAGCAAGTTAATTGCCTCCATATTGTGGGTTGAAGTTGAAGAGGCAAGTTGCAGTGGTCTAATAATCCAAAATAACAACCCTTGTCACTAAAACCTAGTTGCAGTTATTTTATTGCTGAATATAAAGGAGGTAAATAATATGCTGGGTCAGTAATGTTAGTATAATTTTTCATGTTTTATTTAAGTTAGTTTCTCATAATGTATAGATGTACAGACACCATAAAAAAAACTGGAAGTAGCGACGCCCTGTTTTTTACATAGCAATGTCATTTTGAATGTTTTGACTCGATATTAATTTTGCATGTATATTTCTTTGTACAGAAACCATACATGTTTGCACATTCTGTGCTGTACATAAGTTACTTTACCCTCAGTTATTTTTGAGATTAAAAATCGGAAACATTTTATTCGTACAACTAGTCCAGTGTCTTTGTTTATAAAGTGTTTCTCCATTTTGTGTTTGTGTGTGTGGGGGGGGATTACTCAACAGCACTGTTGCCGTACAGTAAGTTTGAGCTGGTGTATAAAACTACGCTGATCTGAAGATTAGTATTTTTACATATTTTCTACGTCTACGTCTCTCGAGACCTCACCCAGACCATGTGAAAACCATCAGGAGCGGCTGAGGAAACAGGTGTGAAAACTGCATCTGCAGGTGCTGCGATTTTGGAAAGATCCCAAAACCGATAAATGACTAATTAAACTTCCCCTGATCTTATCGCGGTGGTCTCAACATGCGCAGGGAACCGTAAATGCATTAAAATGTATTGTTTTACAGAACAAAAAGAATATCAAGTATCCATACGTGCATATTTTATTAACCAAACAGGCAATAAAATGCATTTGCACGGTCACTTCTTTTATTGTAATTAGTATGCATGCTGGTTTCCGGTGTCCTGTTAATTGCATGGGAAAATTGTTCATTTACAGGAACATTAGTTTAAAAAAAAAAAAAACTATTTAATTTTTCTTTAAAAGACTTATCCAGTTAAGGTATTGACTTAAAAAAAATGTAAACCGGTTTTGTACTTGTCTTCATGGGAGCATGTAGGCATACTTGTATTTAAAGAAAGAAAAATTATGCCTTTTACAGAAAGGTTCGTGAGTTTATTCACGTCTGTTTTTGACACTTGCCGCATCTGTGGTTGTTTGTCTGATTGTGTGAATATAACGTCTTTGTTTTTTTATGAGGTGTGAGGAGAAGGTTGGTGTTTAAACTGTCTAATGCTGTTCTGCAGGCACCCACACGTACAGCCTGTTCTTCTTTAGAAACGCAATGTGCCACTGTTTTCACGTTTCAAACTCTTGACTTTGACGTTCAAATAATTCCATTTAGTGGCCCAGCCCTGGCTTTGAGGTGTAAGATAACCAACCGAATAAAATGAAATGATCTCTATGAACCTTTCATACTGAAAATAAAACGTTCATACTGAAAATTCAAACTTCCATAAGTATGAATCAAGATTTCCCCTCAGATTGCTTTCTAAGAAATCGTGAACATAGTGTGAACAGTTTCCATGACTCATTTTTGTCTTTTGCTAATTTGGGTTTGAAATAAGTTGTCTGTTGACTGACATAATAATGGGGTATTTAGACATCTCTGACTGTGTGCAGTTATTTAAAAAAGTGCTTCATAAAGCTTGTACCACCAGGAGGCACACTTTAACTAGCTCAAGAAGTCTTGAATAATTCAAGTGGTCTAATAATTCTATGATGAGTGTCAGTGCATTATCAGAATGCTATATTTGTGGTTTATAAGTGCGGTCATGATTTGATCAGATATCTTCCTTGAACACAGATAGGTTATTTTACCCCTTAAGATAATATACAAAGTTCTCAGTTCTGGCAGTTCTGCGCCATGGAAACAACACTGTCCTAGGGTTAGTTTATCTTGAAGCATAGAATACATCAAATACTTCAAAAAGTCAATGTTTAAAAGGTAAGAGTCTTATTCATCTTAATGAATTCTACTCCTGTGCAAAATATTGGAACAATAATAATGTAGGTATGAAGCAACTTTTTATATTCAAGTTTTTATTTAACAAAATTGAACAAAATAATCTTTTAAGCCTTGTTATTATAGTCTAGACTTCAAATCTAGTCTACAGCAAACAGCCGGCACAGCATGCAAATGAAATGTTATCGTTTTTGCAATATTAGAACTTAATGACGTTTCAAACCAACATGTTAACGAGTGAAAATAATTCAGGCTGGTTGGAGTCATTTAAATAAAATGTCAAATCACTCAAGCAAACTTCCTGATTTGTCTTGTACAGAAATAATCAAAAATTGCATTCCTCAAGAGACTGGGTTTGCAAAAGTATGTGCATAGAAAATAACTGAATTTTAATTAATATTAGAACACTTAAAATATCTGGCGTACTAATGTCGTATTTGATATAAGTTATTACTTTTAGTATTTTGTTCATATTTGAATATTATGATTTAAATATTATTTATTTAAAATGACAAACATTTAACATAAGCAGAACTGTATATTTATAACTGTCTAATTAATTAGTGTCAAATTATATTAAGCAAACAAATACTGTGATATTAATTAACTGTGTTATTATGCAGTCTGCTTGTAATTAAATCTGTATGCAAAAAGGACAATGCTGTCTACTGCCTTAAATCTTTTTTGCATTCAATAGATCAAAAATCTAAATGCACATAGTTTACTGTGAGGGGTAAGTTTAGGTGTAGGGTTGGTGCAGGGCGACAGAAAATACAGTTTGTACAGTATAAAAACCATTACGCCTATAGTAATCTCTTTTTTTATTTTAGTTAACGATAATAACCCTGCAACCTACAGACCACTTTTTTAGAAGCCTTGGGGGTCTGACAAACTAGAGATTACATGAATTACATATCAGGGATTTTAAGGCACATTAAAAGATTTTGTCCATTGATAAATAAATAAATAAATAAATAGCAAGATTCAGTAACTAAATAATTTAAATATTATTATTATTAATAATAATAATAATAATAATTAAATGTGCACATAACTCTACTACAAATAAGCAAGCCTTTAACTAAAATTATTCAAAGGTTTAAAACGTTGAATAAATTAAAACAATATTAAATGTGTCCTTTACAAGAATCCCTGTTGTGATAGAAAACTAGCCCTTTTTTTTCTGATGTCCTTTGTTTTTTTACGTATTTGAGTTGATTTTGGCCTGCACATTTTTCTGGGACATGGAAACCGTAAAGATGGGTCAAGTTTGAAATCAAGCACAAAATATATCTATATGTAAGCTAGCTATACAGTACATTCTATATGTAGATTCCACTGTGCTAAAGCACAATGGATTAAAAAAAAAAGTGATGTGATGGTTGCTAGCGTGAAACAAGGAGAAAAAAGTTAAGATAAAGTCTGGCATCAGGGAAAGTGTTTGTTTGTTTGTTTATTTATTTATATTTATATAGTACCTTTCAAAACAAAGTTACAAGGTGCTTTACAATGTCAGTTTGTTTTTACTGATTTTTCAGTCACTTCTGCAAGTCTTTTGTCTTTCTGTCCTTTCTCCAGACTTCCAATATTGATGCCATAGTTAAAAAAAAAAAAAAGTGATGTGATGGTTGCTAGCGTGAAACAAGGAGAAAAAAGTTAAGATAAAGTCTGGTATCAGGGAAAGTGTTTGTTTGTTTATTTATTTATATTTATATAGCACCTTTCAAAACAAAGTTACAAGGTGCTTTACAATGTCAGTTTGTTTTTACTGATTTTTCCTGTGATGTTTTAAAATTGATGGATTTAATGTGCCATGTTGATTTGCTAACATATGTGTATTCAAATTGCCAAAAAAAAAAGAAGAAGAAGAAGACTTTCTTCTGGCTTTAGTGCTGGTTTTTATCTGTTTCCAATCTGCTTTTGCACAGAAGACCGAAAGGAGGCGACACCTGCATAAACAGTTGCCACTGTGCTGATACTTTTCATTTGAAATGACTTACAATACAACTGCAGAGAAAAAAAGTCTTGCTAAAATGAAAAAACGAGAGAAGCAATGAGAAGCACCCGTAACAGACCTTTATTTTTGTTGCATGACAGTGTTCTGTGTAATGAAACGTGTGTTTGACTTCTACCAGATGTACACAGTGAGTCGAGTTACAGTTTAATTTAATATTTCTAAATGTGGGGTACCATGCTTTTCTACTTTGTACAACCAGATCCTGTATTATGTTATGTATGTTTTTGTTTTTTTTTGGGAGTAATGAATGTTTAATAAAGTAAACTCTAATGAAACAATCCATGTATTCATTTTCCAAACCACTTTTCCTATAGGGTCACAGGGATTAATCCAGAGTCAGGGAAACACCCATCCGATGGACACTTTACTATTCCATGAGGCAACAGAAAGTGACATTGTATGTCACATTACAATGCAAACATTGCAGATATAGTATGTCTAGAACATATACTTTTGTAAGTTCTACAACATACTTTTTTCACAGGCACAAAGTTCTTTGTCAAATATAGTTCTATACTCTTACAGTACGCAATTTCTGCAATTTCACTTATGCAGTGACTGTGTTTGTATGCCTAAACTATGGTTCTCTCCATTGATCATTTGGAACTGTTTTAGTTTCCAAAGCAAAAATTGAGAAGTAGCTGGAAATAATGCATCTAAATGCCAGTTATGACGCCTGTGTCTGTCACATATCATAGGTATCTAGTTTTGTTATTTTCCTTTGTTTAGCCCTGGTTTCCTTATTTGTGTGTGTGTGTGTGTGTGTGTGTGTGTGTGTGTGTGCACGTGTGTGTGTGGTTTATGAGGACACAAATTTGTATAATGAAAGAGGTGCTGCAGCAAAGTACAGTATGAGAGAAATAATATGATTTTGAACTTTAAATATACCATAATAAGATACATATAGCATAAAAAGACCACATTAAAATTAGCTTTGTAATGTACAACCTACATCCCTAAACTGTGTAAATTAGGTACAAAGAGTACTGTTGTGACATCCTGTCCCACTACTGGGGTGAGTTTTGTCATTTAAATTTCACAAATCAAAGTAAAATGACAACCCAGTGTTACAGCCCAACATCATACTCCTACTTCTACATATCTGATGTCCAGTCACAGTTTTTGTGGTGACAAGACGCATGGCCTGCCTTAAGGAAGAGCGAGCTGTCAGGAGTGTTCAGAATCAGTGAGTGACAAATCCAATCATCAAAAGAGGACGAATTAAACCCATGTCATTCATTTTAAATATACTAATTATCCTTGAATAAGGATTAGAATCTTGATTTAATAATGATTAGAATGTAATAATTTGTTGAGTATGACAGTTCATTACTGTTACCCAGACGGATGAGGTTCAAACCATGGTACGGTTTGGGTTGTATTGGATAAACCTCAACCAGTTTTTTCTTTAAGAAATGATAGAGGTGTGTGCATACTAGGGGTGGAACGGTTCTCGGTAAAAAATCGAACCGTACGGTTCTCCACACACGATTCGGCACGCACTGGGACCGCGGTTCAATTTAAATCTGACAACGCATCTGTTATATGGTTTGTTATAAATAAATAAATAAAACAACACGTAAAACAAATAGGGTTCGGCTAATATATGTTTCTGTTGATGGATGGATGCGCATTCTGAAAAAAAAAGTGGACAAACCATTCACTCTTGTTCAATGCGAATGCCGTATGCTGGAATATGAGCAGTCATTTATTCCGTCATCGTGCTGATAGCGCTCGTGCACGGGTGAGACCTGAACAGCACACGTTGATATCTGTGGTTAAGCTAAACTAATTTATTAAGCCTTGCCAGTTTAAACATTTAAGAGCCAGAAGACGCGAGCTCGCACGCGCAGTGAGAAGATTTGTGAACTCGCGCCTCAGAACGCACGCAAATATTAAGCTCTCTCTGAAGTATTGTGTTTAAATGGACAAATTCACACAAAAATTACAGTCAAAATGCCCGTCTTGGTAAGTATCCTATAGCAGACATAGTCGGCTGAACGTACTGTATCAGTGCACCGGATCAGTGCATTCTCTTAAAGTGACAGCACTTTGTTAATCATACAGCAACAACAAGGAAATCACTCACTCTCACTGCTCTTGATTGAATAGCTTTTGTAACTTTAATAAAGATTAATCTTTAATTTATAGTCAAATATGCAATGCTGTTTACTAATGTTAAACCTACCTAAAAAAACTGAAATCACTGTTTATTTTAGTTGTATTTTTACTCTATTGTATTTATTTGTGCTGTTGCTTGTAGTTAGATAGATTATTCATATTTTTTTATTTGACAGTATAGTTTTTCCCTAAACATAGCACGTACCGAAACCGTGACTCTAAAACCGTGATACAAACCGAACCGTGAATAAGTTGAACCGTTCCACCCCTGGTGCATACATCAGCTCATACATTTTTACATGTCTCTAATAGATAATCCTTGTAATTTACATTTACAGATTTACATTTATTCATTTAGCAGACGCTTTTATCCAAACCGACTTACAACTGAGGAATACAACAAGCGATTCATCATAAAGAGGCAAATAAACACAGGAAGTGCTTGTAATACAAAGTTTCAGACATTGTTCAGATAAGTACAAGCTAGACAGGGAGGGGTAAGGAAAGACAAAACCATATTTATTTATTAAATTTTTTAGGATGCAGTCAAATGTTGACGAAAGAGATGGGTTTTCAGATGGCGAAAGGATTCAGCGTTCCGGATGGGGGTGGGAAGACCATTCCACCAGCCAGGAACGGTGAACGAAAACATTCGGGAAAGTGATTTTGTGCCTTTCTGTGATAGTACCACACGAGGCGTCGCTCACTTGTAGATCTCAGGCTTCTGGAGGGGGTGGAGACTCGTAAGAGTGAGTGGAAGTAGGAGGGTGTTGAGCCCGTGGCTGTTCTATACGCAAGCATCAATGTCTTGAACTTGACGCGAGCCGCAACCGGAAGCCAGTGCAGGGAGATAAAGAGAAGTGTGATGTGGGCCCTTTTGGGCTCATTGAAGATCAGTCTTGCTGCTGCATTCTAAATCAATTATAGAGGTTTGATTGCGCATGATGGAAGTCCAGCCAGAAGAGCACGGCAGTAGTCCAGCCTAGAAATCGCAAGGGCCTTGTAATTTCCAATGTAAATGCCATTGTGTTTTAGTACAACATATGTTTACTTTTAACGTGTCTGTGACTCTTGTGAGAATACTTTCCAAACTTGTAGAGAGCAAAAACAATAAGCACCTGTTTCATTATGGTAATGGGGATAGTCCCTCAGGAGGTGTCAGTGTGATATTATGAATGTGCTGTCCTGTGAATGAGTGATGTCTATCACATGTTGTTTTGACTGGCTAGTGAAAGCTTAATCACTCTGACTAGTCAGATATGAGAATAATACACATCATCTCATTAGAAGGGCTGTACTGGGGATATTAGACTGAATCATGATGTCCGCTATGATGAAAATCTATGTTTGAGTCTATGTAAAATCTGCTCATTGTGAGAGAAACATATAGAACGATTTGAATCATGCTTTTGTGGAGGAGTAGTGGCTGGGGTCTGTGGTTACGCCGGTGACCCAGTTTCTATCGCTTCAGCTCTACATGAGTTTAGGGTTGTTTTTTTGACGTGTTTTAATATAAATAACATAATTTACCTCTTTTGTGAAGAGTGCAGTACATGTTATTTTGCTGCAATTGTAGTCCAAAAATTACAGCATCTACTTTAAACATGAATCTCCCAATGTCCCAAAATGATTTTTGACATTTTGCTTGCAAATATGCTTAATCAATGGGGAGCATTCAGGTTTTGCTTTCCTTGCCTGTGATCATAGACTGATGTGTATGTGTGTGGTTCAGGTATACCATCATTATGGACACAAACATGGCAATATCCAAAATCCTTGTCTTGTGGGGACATTTATTGGTCCCCATAAGTAAAATAAGCTTATAAATCATACTAAGTGATGTTATTTGAAAATCTAAAATTCCAGAAGGTTTTGTTTAAGAGGTAGTTTTAGGGATAGGGTTAGGTTAAGGGTAAGGGGATAGAAAATACAGTTTGTACAGTATAAAAACCATTATGTCTATGGAATGTCCCTATAAAACATGGAAACCAGTGTGTGTGTGTGTGTGTGTGTACTGGTATATATGGTTTATGAGGACAAAAATGTGTATAATGACATGGTTACTACAACGTAAACATGGTTTATGAGGACACTTCCTGTGTCCCCGTAAAACAAAAGGCTTAAAAAACATACAAAACTGTGTTTTATTAAATTAAAAAATTGCCAGTAGTTTTCTGTACGGGGTAGGTTGAGGTGTAGGTTTGGTGTAGGGTGATAGAAAATACAGTTTGTACAGTATAAAAACCATTACGCCTATGGAGAGTCCCCGTAAACCAAAAATGCAAGTATGTGTGTGTGTGTGTGTTTAAATTGCACTTTTTCTGAATATACAAATGGTAAAATGTGTCAAACGGGCTATAATACACTCTCAGAGTTGCTTAATTTTTAATCTTATTCAAACAACATTTCTTCAGAAAAAAAAAAAAATTAAAATTATATTTACATGAACTGCAATGAAAAAAAAAATACTTCTAAAGCATTTATTATTTTTAGTAAATTTTAATGTTAATTTTAAAATTTACTTAGGCTATACATTACTAAAATCAAAAGTTGTATCTGTTAATATTATTTAATGGACCTGAGTTAACATAAACTAACAGTGACTGCTTGCATTAAGAGCTAAGACAAATCTAATATGTATTTTTTTTTATATGTACTATGCTACTTTTTATATGGATACTGAAAGGTAATACTGATTATCCCTATCAGAGGCATCATGCCCATTCAGACCGTGAGCAAAGTGGATTTTGATTGCAGTTTCCAAAAGACAAATAAATAGCCGAACAACTTTTTTTTTTTTAAATTATATTTACATGAACTGCAATGAAAAAAAAAATACTTCTAAAGCATTTATTATTTTTAGTAAATTTTAATGTTAATTTTAAAATTTACTTAGGCTATACATTACTAAAATCAAAAGTTGTATCTGTTAATATTATTTAATGGACCTGAGTTAACATAAACTAACAGTGACTGCTTGCATTAAGAGCTAAGACAAATCTAATATGTATTTTTTTTTATATGTACTATGCTACTTTTTATATGGATACTGAAAGGTAATACTGATTATCCCTATCAGAGGCATCATGCCCATTCAGACCGTGAGCAAAGTGGATTTTGATTGCAGTTTCCAAAAGACAAATAAATAGCCGAACAACTTTTTGTACACTTGATAAGGTCACACCGTTGTGATTAGAACGTTCAGTGCGGCACATCATCAGCTGCTAAATTTAAATCTGCCTTCACTCTTTGGCTGGAGCTGAGCCGGATACAGACGCGTTTTTACAGCGCTGCGCATTTTAACAAATCACACACGATTCTGTTGAGCTTATGAATGCAATTGCCAAATCAGAGTCGTACAGATGAGTCATCGCTGAAATGACGGTGTTTTGTTCAGTGCGAACGCTCGCTGACTGAATTCTGCTCACTGGCGAATTCTCTTATCAGAAACAACAAAGTGCAGATGTGCGTATGATGTAAGAGATTCATTTCATAGTGTAAAAAGCTTCAGGGATTATAATGGGAGTTTTTGTGAGTGTTTGAACTCTGAAGTCAACTCTATTAACTCTGTTAATGCAGGTGGCCCCAAATATATATGCTTTAACTAACGTTAACAAATATTGCAACAAATGTATTGCTCATTGTTAATTTAATATTAGTTCATGCATGTACTTACGTTGGCTAATGGGTCCTTATTGTAAAGTGTTATCATCTGACCTTCTTGCTGTGTATCACTGGGAATGTAAAATTATCACTCTGCAATGTGAGCCACAAACTTACATAAATTTTTATTGAAGCTATGTATTCTTACAAAAGATCATTCATATAGTTTCAGTAAACAAAAACATCAGTAACACTAAAATACATGTATGTGTGTATGCACATGTAAAATACAAAGTACATATAGTTGCCAGAAAACAACCCAAAATTAAATGATCATATAAAAAATAAATATAAACATTTACAGATATATGCACAAATAACACTATGAGGCTTGTAAATGACATTGTATGATCCTTGTTTTTAACGTGAACAGTCCAATGTTCAAAGCTTGCCCTCATCTATTTACAGCTTTCTGATTAAACTTCCACTCAAACTGCTCATCTATAAACTTGCCTCATCTATTCTGGGCCTCATCTTCACTAGGCAAGTACATCCTTTATTTATTAATTGATTGATCGATTGATTGATTTACTTGTTTACTTATGTATTTTATTACATTTTTTGTCTGTATTCCCTTTTCCAATTATTCTTTAACTCAAACTGCTGTAGCTGATCTCTCATCCACACTAGTGGTCTGTGAGTAAACAGATCCTGTGGCCTGTATAATGTAGCTCTTCATGAACTGCACTCTGCTGAAGGGTGTCCTGTACAGGAGTCTGAAAAGTTGCTTCCTAAATTTCTCTCCCACAAACACATAAAGAAAGGGATTCACACAGCTGTGTGAGTAAGCCAAAGCTTCTGTGATTTGCAGGCTTAGACTGATTGCCTTGCTGCTCTCACAAGGTGGGGTTATATGTTTACTCAGCTCTAAGGCTCTCACAAAAGCTGCAATATTGTATGGAGCCCAACAGCAGAAGAAGACCACCATCACCGCGATGACAAGACGCATGGCCTGCCTCCTGGAAGAGCGAGCTGTCAGGAGTCTCATCAGAATCATCGAGTAACAAAATCCAATCACAATAAGCGGAAGAATTAAACCCATGACATTTTTTTTAAAGATGCCAATAATCATTGAATAATGACTAGAATCTGGATTATTTGTTGGATAATATGTACAATAAGTTGAATTATTCATCTGTGTGGTTTTGAGATTTAACAGCTCAGGAAAGGATGCTGAAACTGCAATGATCCATATGATTACACTGGCTAAGATCCCATATGTCCTTGTTCTGACTCTCAAAGCAAACACAGCATGAACTACAGCTAAGTATCGATCAACACTCATCAGAACAATAAAGAATATCCCACTATAGAATCCAATGTGGTAGACACTGAAAACCATAGTGCACATAACATCTCCAAAGATCCACTGGTCTCTGGCACTGTGTGCTAGGAAGGGGAGGGAGCAGACTAAAAGCAGGTCAGCTATAGCCAGGTTCAGAAGACAGATGTCAGTCATGCTTCTCAGCTTCACACCCATCAAGACTACCCAGATCACCAGTATGTTACCCGGAAAGCCCACAATGAAAAACAGGGAATATAACACAGGGAGGATGCTAGCTCCGTGAGTTCCATAACGACAGGGCAATACAGATGAATCCAAATCATAATTGTAGTACCCAGAATATTCAGAATATTCAGAATATTCATCCTTCTGTGGCACACCCGAAACCAGTAAATCCACACTTTAAAAGGAAAAGAGAAATATACTATAAGCAACGCAGAGCTCCTCTTTTACATGTGACTAATATACATGTGATATGACCTCACCTGGTTGATGCAAGCTCATTTAGATAAGGGATACTGTAAGATATCCTTCCAGTCCATGGATGCTGTGCAGTAGTCCTGTTCATGACAAAGAGACAAAGATATTTCATTCTCGGTGCAAATGGCTCTTCAAAGAACATGGTATGAGAACAACACTTGTCAGTTATAATGCAGTAATTGCCATCAATCATGGCTTCTGTTCTGTGCTTCTCCACACTAAAAAGAAATGAATGATATACATCTATCTTGATCAGACAGAACTTGTGTATATATAGACTGTTGTGTGTTATTTCAGTTTTCTCCAATGTCCCATTTTCTCAGTGCTCTTTTTCTGCTGTTTGAACTACATTTGGAGATGATGTTTGGTCTTACCTCAGCAACGCAGCTGTAGAATTCATAATCAGAGAACCAGAGGTGTTCTAACAGGGTTAGACCAAAAAGGAAAATTGAGTGTTGGCATAACAATGCTGGTAATAGATCAAACTAAGGCATTAGTACAAATGTATTAACTAACAATATGCGCTGCTTTAACATTAATAGACAAATAAACGTATTAATGATATGCACATTTATAAACATATAAATAAACACATTTACATTATCAGCAAAATGCTATTATTTGATTGAATAACTACTTTGTGGCATTATGATATATGATTTTAGATGTGGGGGAGATAATCATTTGGTTGATGATATAAGGCATGATGTAGTAGTAAATATAAATAAGTAGTAAAGTACTTTACTGGGTATATACCATAATAATAACCAAGGAACAATTATTTTAGAAAATGAATTCATCTTAATGCTAATTCCTATGATTGTTGATACCTTTTTATGATCAAAATTTGTATGAATTAAAATGTGAATGAACACAAATGAACAATAAACAATAGTATATAAATTGACATTCAATTATTTTTTTTATAAATGCTGTGGGAACAAATGTCATTGGTAGTTGATAACAAATTGAACCTTATTGCAAAACCCTTACCTGTTACCCTTTACTATTTACTGTACTACTGATTATCAAAAGAACATGAATCAGTAACATTTTGGCATCTTACTTTGATAAATGTAGAGGGCACGCATTAAATTCAGTTTAGTTTAATATTACAGCACATAAATATATATTGCACTTTAATATACAAAATAAATATTGTTCTAAAGCAGCTTTAAAAACAATATGCCTAAAATAAGACACCTCAGAAAAAAATATACAAAGCATACATTATTGTTAATTTGAGCCTCATAGTATTAATATTTTTATATCTTTAATTAATCTTTTATCTGCCACATAAAACGCCTTTTGTGCTTAGCCATTTTATTTTTTATTTAAAAATGTTATTTTCATGTTTGTAGTATTCGGTGGAAATACCAAAGTCATTCTACCACATTTTTAATTGAATAAATGAAGTCATATGAATGATTTATTATCGTAACAGAAAATGACACATACCTATGAGCACTATGAGCTTCGATCTGTGGTGGAAACCGCCTGTGACATTCAGACTTATTCTGTGACATTGAATGTTTTCAACAGCTGGTTTACCAACCATAAAAAAGTGTGAAACCATAACCATTTCAACCAATTCAAACTGATACAAAAGATGTTTGCTGTAAAAGTGGGGGGCTAGGGCTCATATTTAAAGTGCTCTCCAGGCATATTAAAGGCATATCAATGAACACTTTAAAAAAAAAAAAAAGATGTTAAATCAGAAATGTGCTTGCCAGGAATACTCACAAGTGTGGTAACTGATGTTGCCCCCTGACCTTCCGAGCAAAGACGGGAAGTTGAGATGAGATAAAATCTTATCATATGAGATCGGTCAAAAAACATGATCTATTATAGGTCTGTTTGTTTTTTTTCCACAGGGTATTGGTTTGTGACACTTCCCGTCTGTATAGGTAAACTGGGGTAGGGGCTTTGCAGATTGCAGAACTAGTTTCATATCGGCTGCAATAGCAATGACTCGATTGGCTCCCATACAGTTTGGAGGAAATTACATTGTTATGCATCTATGTCTTTTATTTTTGAATGAAAAAACAATGTTGCAACACTGCAGTATGAACTTCATAGTGCTTCAATGCCGTAAAAAAATACAAAATAAATAAAATTACAAACCTATGCCAATAAATGACCAGTAAAAGAACACACTCAGCATTGCATGTGTACTCAGAACAGCTGAGCAATGAGCATGTGGTTTTACACGCTCTGCACACACCCAACCACTTAAAAGTGCTTTTAAAGGAAATGTCCATAGTCTGTATAACCTTACATTGTATAGGCTCTGGTGTTCTTCAAGTGTTTTATCATTACATAATATAAAGTTTGATATCTGCGCCATCTGAATTAGTAACACACTGAAACAAAAAACATGAAACCAGTGGAGGGGTTGGTTTACCTTTGCTCTTTTTGTGGGTTCTTGTTTGCCTTGGTTAAAGTTTTCTCGTTACAGTCTCTTCATTGTAAGGGAAATGTGTGCTTAGACCCAATAGTAGCACGTGTCAAAAAAAAAAAGCAAAATATAACTAGGTTTTTACATTTTCTGAAGAAACTTTAAAATGTAAATGGTGCTTGCTCATTTACAAAACCACATTGCTAAGATGTTCTGGTCGGTTGCTAAGTGGTTGTTGCTACTGGGCTAAATAAGCCCACCCTCAAGTCTCTAATATTCTTGTCTCTAGTTATGATAAAATATGACTTCCAACATCAATGTAATGTTTGAGCCTTTTTTATTATCCACCAAGCAAAACTTGTAAGACTGAGTTGTAAGAAAAAAGCTCACCTCTACTCAACAAGCCACATAATTTGAGTTTTAACTATAGCACAAATGTGTAGGAAAAGTCAAATGCACATAGAAATGACATCACACTCAAGTTGACCGTGTTCCAATACAGAAGTTGGAAAATCAAGATTGACGCGTCCATTGATACCAATAGTTGATCAAAACACATTAAAAAGAAATATTTTGCACAGACAGCACCAAAGTATCATGTCCACAGATAGAGGTTGGATAGTACTGTGTACTGTGTAGACACAAACAAACAGACATGCTAATAAACAGTATATTACTTGTGTTTCACTTCTGTTGATGCAATGAGCAGCCTGAAGTCAAAGTTGTTTTGGTTCCTCCAACTTTCCAAACCAGACTTCCAACTTGAGGGGGTGTTTCAGTTAAAAGTTCTTGGATTTTACAACTTCCAAGTACAAATGGAGCGCACCATTAGGATAAGGTTTAGTTTAAATCACTAACCCAAGTATAGTAATAATGATATTAGAAGAATATGTTTTAATGGTCTCAAGAACTTCCCAGTTCCCACATATAATTTTTGATAACACCTTAGTTTACGGACCAATTCTCATCATCAACTAGTTGCTTATTAACATGCATATTACTAGCATATTGGCTTTTATTAGTACTTTGCCCAGCTCTGGTCAACTTACAAATGGCGTCCTTGGATGGCCTATAACTGTATATATTTTGGTTTCAAGCTTTCAAATCGAAACTTGTTTCCTACCAATCATGTACTTTTTTTCTTTTTAAAGTTTTAACAGAGCATGTAAATGTGACCAGCTTTTCTTCTCTTCTCCACTAAGCAAGTAATTTACAGAGATTAAGATTAAGAATTTATTGACCATATTGTTAGAATTTCCAATCATTCCTTGAATTTATGCATACTGTGGAGCTCACCTCAGTGCGGACTCGGCAGAGGTGTGCATCGAGGGTGCATAGCGGCCACAAAGGGGGCGCTCATGAGCACCCTTCTGAAAGCTAAAATGATGACCCTACGGTCTTATGGACTTAACGGACACGTGCACGCGGCGGCCATTGTAAGTTCGCAAGACAGCAATGTGAAGTGTACAATTTAGGAAAGGGCCTTTGTCCTTTTAACTTTGTGAAGGGATCAAATACTGGTCATTTACAATGGCCATTTTTGGCTTTCATAAACATGGTTTCTAATACTTAAGTGAAGTGAAAGTGAAGTGAAGTGAAAGTGAAATGTGGCCAAGTATGGTGACCCATACTCGGAATTAGTGCTCTGCATTTATCCCATCCAAAGTGCACACACACAGCAGTGAACACACACACCGTGAACACACACCCAGAGCAGTGGGCAGCCATTTTTGCTGCGGCGCCCGGGGAGCAGCTGGGGGCTTGGTGCCTTGCTCAAGGGCACCTCAGTCGTGGTATTGAAGGTAGAAGAGAGCGCTGTACATTCACTCCCCCCACCTACAATCCCTGCCGGTACGAGACTCGAACCCGCAACCTTTGGGTTACGAGTCCGCCTCTCTAACCATTAGGCCACGACTTCCCCCTTACCCCTACTTGAACAAATGGAAGAGATGCACCGTGATTCTAAACCAAAATGTGTACTTTTACCAAGACAGATGCTGTCACACCCCACAAACTCATCATCTGGAGAGAGAAAATGTCTCAGTTACACCAAAATACACATTTAATGATGGACGTAACAAGGATTGTAAAGATATTTCACGGGAACTTGGCATTCATTACATCTGTTTTGTGTTTCTTTTTTTGTTTTAATTCTTCAGTAAGTATTATAGACTTTTTAGTTGCTTATGGTTTTATCTTACGAGTTAGCGTTTTGCTTTGCACATTTAAAAAACAACAAGCGTTGTACCAAAGTGCTGTACAATTTTAAATATTATTAGGCAATATAAAATCTATTGCCTAATAATGTTTAAAATTGTACAGCACTTTGGTACAACACTTGTTGTTTTTTAAATGTGCCTTATAAAAAAACGTGAACTTGAATTTGAGTAAGTATTCATGTTCAAAGGCCAAATGTTACAGCTAATAATTTGTACAATTTTTGCTCATTTTTGCTACATTTTTGATAAAAAATAAATAAATAAAAGTACCTAACTGAAACGACTTGCTGTCAGTTTTATTAATGTAAACTAACAGAGACTACAAAGGATATAGTGCTGCAGGGATGACATATTTCTGTAGGCCAAAACCTAGAAACGAGTTAGCATTTTAGCATTTCTGGTTTCATCGTCCTAAAGTCAGTGGGTATTTTGAATAGGGTTTAATTATCTGAAATAACACATGTGGTTAACACAAGCTTGTTCTACACATAAAATGCATCAGCAATACCACCTTGTGATTGTCTTGAAAAAGAGGTTGTCAGGGACTTCTACTCATCTTCTAACTCATCTACTCACTAGTCAGCCTTTACAGCCTCATTGTGTTTATAATCACACTCTTGCAAAATATACTAACTCAAAATTTCAGGTAAAATGTTTTTAAATAAAGATTTGTTGGAAGCTTAGTTATGTGACGTTGAAGTCATGCAACTGGGATGGTGATAGTGTCATATCACAGTTAATTTATTCAACTGTCATTTTGCAAATCTGGTATCACATCAATCAGCGTACATATTCTTGCACATATAGCTTTTAACAATGCTACTTATAGGTTGCAAATTTGCCATCTGCAGGCAAAATAACAAACTTTGTTTCTCTGCACCACTAACATTGGTCTGGAGGACTGGGAACACAAGCACTGTGATACAAACAGTGAAAACATCAGCACTTAATTGGAGTGCCAATCATATTAGAGGACCAGAACAAAATTCTGTATTCTACTGTATTACTATAGAGGAGGTGAATTGGTTTATCATGCATTTGTATCAATATATTGCATACTTTCATTTGACTGATCAGGATGCAGAATAGTTGTCTTCTTCTTTTCTTTTTTTTTCATGCAGATAAAAATCATATGTACCTCATAACGAGGAAGTGGTTATGTGTGATTACAAAGTCCAATCAAGAACATCAATGAATGAACTTGCATCATGCCTTGCATCAGATACTTCATCAAAAATATCCTGTTGATAGATTTGGATAAATACCATCAATGTAGTTATAGGCATAAAATATAAGCCATTTAGACCATTTTTGCAAGGTTTTTGACACATAATTTTATATTTTAGATTATCAGTTCAATTAGATTATGATAGATTGGGCATTATTACTATAAAATGCTTTCATTGATGTAACATTACTGTATGTTACAACAGTTTGGGAGTAGTTTCTATAAAAATTACTTTCTGGATTTCTTTTCTGAGTCTGTTTGATGCTACTTGAAATAACACTGTCATGTCAGCAGTCTTCGTGTACTGTGTTTGCATCAGAGCCAAAGAACACAGGAAATCCGCCTCACTCTGCAGAGCATGTCTCTTCAGAAACCTGTGGTTTTCTGCTGTAGCTTTAAAGGTACAGATAAAGGTTAGGGTGAAGTTACTTCCCTGAAACTCAGTCACGTTCACTGTTTTACAATAAGCTTCCTGATGCTTTACAGATTAGAATGACAACCAATATGGCCAAATAAGTAAATAAATAAAATTATATTCAGCTATAAATATATAAAATAAATTATTGATTTATTATTGAGTTGATCTTGCATGTTGTATTGATTATATATATATATATATATATATATATATATATATGTGTGTGTGTGTGCGTG